GGGAGCTGCCTGCCCCGCACACGGTCCCAGCGGGGCACATGGGTGAGTCCGGCCCTGGGGATTCCATCTTGCCCTGCCCCCGCCCCACTTTTCCCCTCCTCTCTACTGTGTAGTTCCATACTGCCTGGCTGGTAGACATGCTCACACAGCGTGAGCATGTCTACCAGCCAGGCAATATGTAACTATGTACTGATACTCATTATAATAATAACTTAATTAGAAAATACCGGACATTTATATGTCTGGTATTTTCTTAATTTGTTTCCCGGACAGAAAGCTCAAATACCGGACTGTCCAGTTCAAAACCGGATACCTGGCAACCCTACTTTTATCCCATGACAGTTTACTTTGCTTAAGAGCCTTTGGTGAGGGACCTTGTCAAAGGCTTTCTGAAAACTAAAGTATACTATATCCACTTTTCCACATGCTTGTTGACTCCCCTCAAAGAATTCTGATAGATTGGTGAGGCATGATTTCCCTTTACAAAAACTGTGTTAGTTCTTTTCCAACAAACTGTAATCATCTATGTGTCTGATAATATTTTTCTTTACTATAGTTTCAACCAGTTTCCCTGTACTAAAGTCAGGCTGATTGGTCTGTAATTGCCAAGAACACCTCTCGAGCCCTTTTAAGTGTCACATTAGTTATTCTCCAGTCATTTGATACAGAAGCTGATTAAAATTACAGCTTACATATCAGTTAGCAATTCTGCAATTTTGTATTTGTGTTCTCCAAAAATCAAATATGAATATTTTATGGTCATGGTAACTTATTACTATTTAGTTTATCAATTTGTCCCAAAACCTCCACTAATGACACCTCAGTCTGGGAGAGTTCCTCAGATTTGTCACCTAAAGGAATATGGGAATCTCCCTCATATTCTCAGCTGTGAAGACCAATACAAGTAATTCATTTAGGTTCTCTGTCATGTCCTTATCATCCTTGGGTGTTCCTTTAGTAGCTGTATTGTCCAGTAGCTGCACTAATTGTTTAGCAGGTTTCCTGCTTCTGATATACTTTTTTTTTTACTATTACTTTTTGATACTTTGGCTAGCTCTTCTTTATATTCTTTTTTAGTCTTCCTAATTATATTTTTACACTTTATTGTAAGGCAGGTCAAATATTTATCTATTCATTTATTTTTGTATTATTATTTTATAGTACCCACACGTAGAAGTCAAAATTAGGTCCTTACTGTACTAGGTGCCATGCAAGGAGAGGAAATACAGCCCCTGTCACAAAGACTTTATAATCTAAAAACCACAAGAGAAACAAAGGAAAGGAGAAATGGACACCATGCTGAATTTCATTTGCAATCCATATAACAGAAATTAATAATATGTAAGCAACCTGCATGGTACATATTTCGTTACAGAAAGCAAATCCTAGTCTGTATGAGCTGGTGTGCACCATCAATAAATGAGACCTTATGTTGCAGCAGGAGAAACTGTTCCGAATGCCACATAAAAATCAGGGATGGACATGAAGAATGTATCAAAATTATGCTCTCACAATGTCACAGTAGGAGGTAGTCTGTGTCCCAAAATCAGTTTGTGAGCACTACAATTTGAAATGGGTATTGAAATGAAAATCGATGGAGGGTGAAGTAGTGCCTTTATGGATTGGTTCAGGGAGGATGTTCTGTGTGACTCGGGTAGTATAGAATGCAGTGTGTGAGGTGATGCAATATGAAAGATCAAATGGGAGAGATGATTTAATAAAAGAATAATAATAATAATTAATAATAATTAAATACCATATTGGTAATAGTGTTACCATAGTACCCAGGGGCCCAAGTCACAGACCAGGACTCCAGCATTCTAGGGCCTTCAAAGTAGGGACAAAACGTTCTGTATTTGATGCAAAGGAAAAGACAGTGTCAGAGGATGCACTTGAAGAAAGATATGAGATGGTAAGAAAGATAGACCTGGAAGATGATCTTAGCAGCTACTTTTATGCTGCTAACCCAGGACAGTGGTGGTTCTACATCTACACTACAAGCCAACTATATGTGATTCCTCTGCTCATGTATGGATAGCTCATGCTACCGCTCATAAAACTAGCGCAAGAATAAATAGCAGTATGGACTCTATAGCACAGCTGAGCCTTGGTGAGTAAGTACCCACTGGTTTCAGGTGGGTTTGTATTCAGCAGCACTCATTTGTGCTTCTATTACCCTTACCTCTGCTACTGAGTCTACAGTGTATTCTTGATGGATCAAGGGAATCACAACTTTGCAGTCCAGTGAGGTCTTAGCTTTGGATGAAAAAAGGGCTATAGATTTCCTTTGTCAAGTAAAACTAGAACTCAGTCTGACTCTAACAAACCTATTTCCTTCTACATTGTCAAGAAGAGTAAGATGAAGGAGTTTGCATCTCTCTTTTGTCTTGAAATGTTTCAATAATAATACTGTTGAATTGAGCATGTCAGTAAAATGGTCTTGCTGAAGTGTGTGTGTGTGTGTGTGTGTGTTTGTGTGTGCACACATATGATGCCAACAGAGGAAGGCAAAAGCGGGAGACTTCCAATTTTGTTTTTAAGGTCAGTGACTAAATATCTAGCTGGAGCTAGAATGCAAGTTGGTTCCTGTAAATAATTAAAATCATTTTTCCCTGGTGTAAGCCAGTATATAGGCTTACTCTGGCTTCAAAATAAAGAACTGTACTCATGTGGAATAATCCTGGCCACCTCAACCACACTGTTGTGTTTTAATTTTAAATCAAGCAACCTAAATCAGCCAAGATATAAAAAAAAATGTATAGCAATTAACTCTACGTGCTTAACAAATGTTAGCCATGATTATTTCATGACGATTTGTAGATGGTTATCATTTGTCCTCATTATGCAATGACATGATAAACCAGTTCCTCCATAAGGAACTTTCTTGAAACTACATCTTTTGACAGTATTCCAGTGGTCTGGACAGGGTGTCAATATTAGGGGTATGTCTAAACTACATGGCTCCGTCGA